CCCCAAAACCCCAAAACCCCAAAACCCCAAAACCCCAAAACCCCAAAACCCCAAAACCCCAAATTATCAAAATAAAATAGAAATGGAAAGCATGAGAAAAGGTAAGGAAATCCCCATTAGCTGTTCTGAATAGACATTAGAGCTAGCTTAGCAGGCATAATTCAGTATAAAGCAATCTGGGCTATCCTAATGTTGTTAGTAACATTTTGGGTACATTCTTGAACACCAGACGAAAGCCTTACTTGGCTTCAAAGAATCCCTGCTTCACTGCTCTCTACTTAGTTTGATATAGAATTTAGTGGTGATTGCTCTAATTTTACTCAGAAAGAACAATATGTCAAAGTGTATTATCTCATTGCTAAATCTTAACTTGAGAGGCTCAAGTCTTGAGAACATAGTACGTCTTAGAGGTAGATTTTAAAAACAGTACTAGTTATATATTTACCCCACAAACCTACTTTCTTTAGTTTTTCTGAGCCAATGAAAATATCTAAATGTATTATTTTCCTCTAATTCCTGTCCAGATTAGCTTATAACTCCTTAAAGTTTGCCTGAATCTCCTGGAACCGATAAACATTACTCCTGCCTATCCTATTCGAAGTGATTTCCTCAGGAAAAATTCTCCAAAAACGCATTGAAAGAGAGACATGTGTACTAGAAATCCTTAAAAATATTGGATGAAGAGGTTATGATGTCTGCTCCTATAACTTCTAACCTATGAGCTCGACTTGGCTGCTTGTAAATAGCAATGCGGCAAGTAAGTTTGTTTATAGCAGCTTCATAAATTCTTTATTAAGCCAGATAATCTAGTTAAATTATGTTACATCCCGGTTGTTGTTATATTAGGCAGCTGGGTTTCAATGAGGACCAGAAGACTACCGTAGCGTATGAGAATAAGATTATATGGAAACATTACGCAGAGTACCTGTAATACAGTAACTTCACTCAAATTTTACTAAAGTAAATAGAGAGTGATGATTTTGGCAAAAAAAATAACATGGTTTAACATGGTTTAACTTGATAACTTGTTATTCAAAATCATTACTGGGATGAGATTCATGAAGGCTTGATCCTGATTATATTTTTTTAATTTTTAGCTAGAGCCTCTTCATTAATAAGCTCTTTTGAAAAATTCCTACAATACCTCACTGATTTTTATATATAAAAACTCTCAAGAAAAACATATAAATCTAATACCTCCAAATTCTCTTTTAAAATCTCAATTTTCACATCTACAAAAGCCAATGAACTTACCAATTTTGGCTCTTTTCTATGTCTAGACTCTAGACTCTAGACTTAATCCCTTGTCTTTCAATTCTCCTTTCTTTCTACAGATCCCTCACTTGCCACTCTCCTTCGGCCTGACTCAAAATTCGTCTATACCATTTCCCCAATGATTTACCAAATTTTTAGCACGATCAAAACTATACACTACAAACAAGCCAGATAAGGACTGTTTCACAAACTGAACCCACAAATACAAGAGCCATAGAAGATGTGTCAGTGAGATTGCTGAACTTGCTCCATACAGTATGAGCTCTAACTCCCAAAAAAAGTAAGCCACTGTTCCTCTTACAAGTTCAGTTACTTAAACCCATCCAAAATATAACTAGATGGTCTCTGGGAGCCTAAAAGCCACCTCCAGTGGGATCATGGGTGAATTAACACCTTATCTTCCTTCACACCAAGTTCTGCCACTTTATTGAAAATCTTAATTTCTTACAACTAATCCAATAATAGAGAGGAGACATTGACCAAGAGCCACACACATAAGCCAGCAGAGGCTCAAAAGGAACCAGAACAAACTTCTGACAACCAGAAAGAATATAACTTGCTTGATCCTGAACAACTAGCATCTTACATCGGTTTCACACCTGAGCAATGAATCAGCACGGTTAGTCAGATTGACGGAGTACTCGCGAGGGAAGACACCGAGTTCAGACTGAAATCTAGATCAAAATACATGAAACTTATGCAAAAGAAGAAGTTTAGAATATCTAGCCACAAGAACATCCCAGAGATGAAATAATTTTCATAGGCGGACTATGATTTTCTTCCTGGGGAAATTCTAATTCAATAAACCTACCTCAATTTGTAGTAAAAATTAAGGGGTTTTGGGGTTTTGGGGTTTTGGGGTTTTGGGG